GGTAATGCTCCTTAGTAGGGGTAGCGGTAAGGCGATAAAGGAACTAGAGCGCAACACCGAGAAGGGCGCTTTTAAGAAGGTAGAAGAATTCTAGCATAACCGTAGCGCTATCGGACGACTATATAATATTATTAAATGGATTAGAGCGTCTATATAGCGACGAGAGGCGTTTAAGAAGGTACATTATAGTAGTAAGGAGTGTGTAATGTTTAATAATCTTAAGGTAAGTCTAGAAAAGTAGGTCTATACCGCTCCGGAGGTAGCTCCGCCGGTAACTCCGGTAATTCCGGTATAAAGTCATCCTTACTTCTATCCTTTAACTTTGCTAATTATAACATGTACAGCTTATCTAAGACAACTCTATACGCTAGAACTTATTCTACTATATACTAGGAAGAGCATAGACCGTTAGGGAGCGAATTACCGAGTTCTATAGGCTCTATAGAGCTAAGAGGGCCATCCGTAACAACTAGCTAACACCGAACGATTAGGCTTAGATTAACCGGCTACACGATGTACTACATATATTCGAACTTACGACAATAACGACTTAAGGCAATAAGAAACACCTATACGACTAGTACCCTACGCTTTAGTTCCTCCTCGATTATACTAGCAAATATTCGGCCGAATTTAAGGAAGAAGTAGCGATTAATAGACGGTTTAGATACCTCTTAGATTGCTATAACTATGCCTAGTAAAAGGCTAAGAAGTACTAGAAGCTAGTAGATAATATACTAATCATCTACGCTACTATCGTCCTTAATCCGACCCTTAAACACGGCTAGTTCGAAGACAGATAGAGTAAAGGTTCTAAGGAAGAGTAGGGCTATATCGAACAAGTACGTATAATAGTAAAAGAGCTATAGATGTCTGAATATCGCCCTATACTACCGCTATCGCCGGTAGGTAGTTCTATAACACTAGCTCCCTTAGATAGTAAGGATCTCCGTAACTACCTATCTATATATAAGCGGCGTAAAACAAYAAYAACCTTACGTAGTAACGCACTCGAAAACTACCTATCTAAGGACTACGTTCCGGACACTAATAAAGCACTAATTAATGTCCTTAACTAGTAGTTTAAGAGGCGTTACTCAGAGCTAGAACTAGCTAAGTTTGCCTTTAATATACTCGTAATCCCCCTTTAATTAGATAAGCTAGAACGGTCCTTCTTAGATAGCCGTAACATTATTACCTACCGCCGTAACCGCCTCTAAGAGGAGGTAATTAAAGCATACAGTTGTTTAAAGAGCTAGTACGGTCTACTAACACCGGATGCATTTAATAATGTTAAGGGGATTAAGGAGTTTTATATAGCAAGGACAACTACAGCTATAACATAGGGCTCTTAGGGAGTTTTAGAGGATATAGAGACGCTTTTTGTAAACTAATTGCCTATTTAGGAAGCAGGTAACTATTAGTAGAGTTGGTATTCACTTTAGAAGCAGTTGGTTGGTATAGTAAGAGCCCTTAGCTAACCGGTAACCACACTAACAAGCACACTAAGACAACCGGGTGGAGCAATGTAATTAATGAATCAAGCGCCTTATCTAGTGTCTCTCGGGATGGGTATGAACTGCGCAAAAGTCGCATCCATGCAACGAAATTCTCCCTAGACTCGTGCGGTATGCGGGAAAGCTTAGAGGAAAGGAAGCCTAAAGGAATGTAGTACCTCAGCCCGACGAAACCATCTCTAAATACTAATGGGTCTCTTAGTGCTCCGTCCCAGGCAGTTCCAGAGTGACGTAACTGCAAGAAAGGTGAGTATACTACTAGGTAAGCTAGTAGACCTTGAAACTCACGTTCGGAACAGACTCAGCGCAGCCATGCACTCTGGCCACCACATAGCCCTTTAGACAAAGCTGTCGAAAGTTTGCAGCCTCCTGTTCATTAGAGATACTGGGTTGGGTATGTCTCGTTGCGAACGCGTGGTTCAAAACCCAATCACCGAGGAAGTGGGTAAAGAATGCAGACTCGTTTCCAGTCGCCTGAGACCAGTCAATAACCCAAGAAGGAAGATCAAGAGCGGAATGCCTCCTCGTAGCCATGCCGATCCAGACCAGGTCTGGGAAAAACCGGGCCCAGGCCCAAGAAGCAGCAACGTAAAGATCCTCTAGGCTACGTGCATAATCTGGGGGTGGCGGCTGCCAACCGATCATTTCGAGCATTGCAGAAACGCCAAAGACCTTGTCTTTAAGGTCCCACACCTTCGCGGCCTGGACATGCGACATCAACTGGAGTTTGAGAGCCAGGCTCGTACGAGTTTGTGAGCTACGCAACCAGTTAAGGTGGCTGGCTTCGAGCCCATATCGGGACCCAGTCCAGGACATCAGGACATTGTAGTTATTATAGTCAATGAGGGTGGCCGCATCGTAGCTTAGCCAGAAATGGAGGAGCGTTCTCCATCGCAGGGTGTTTCTCCCATACATTGCCATCGGCGACGCGTTGAGCGCCAGCTCCTGAATTGTCCACACTCTGGTGAACCATGAGAGTTCGCGGAGCTTCTTGAAAGCTATGGTTCCTGTTCCGGCGCCGAGTATGACGAGCAACTTTGCTTGCATTAGGACTGAGCTCAGGCATCTATAGTCATCTTGAATCGACTTACAGGATAGAGCGTCCATTTTTTCTCAATACCACCGAAGAGCAACCCGTCACGTGCCCAGTCATACCTGAAGAAATGGTTAGGACCCTTCAACGCTCTGAAGAGTCTATTGATATCTCTGTCTGATTCCCCAAGCCAGACAACGCAGGCACGGGCCTCTCTATAGATTCGACCCATGAGCTGTATCTGTATCTCCTTTTCTGCGTTGTTAGTCTGGTCTATGCAGACTGCGTCGATCCAAAGCACGCGCTGTTCTCGTTTACGGCGTAGATACCGAAGGGCGACGTTCAAGTTGGATGTGATAATAAGCGACTGTCGGTTACAAATAAGAGTATGCTGCTCTTGGGAAGGACCCCATACGTAAGATAGAGCTTCGTAGGTCGCAAACTCCAAGTGCACTGTGGTCAGTGTACAGTACAGCGGTTCGTAGAAGGATCGTGCAGGTTGTAGGGCCACCAGTCGAATTTGACCATCGACAAGAGAATCGTACTGGAACCGATCCATCCCAAAACGTTAATAATGCGAGGTCACAAGCAGTAACGTTCTGATTCTAGGTATCTCGAGYGTGAGGAAAGATTAGTATAAGGAAAAGATGCCTCTCTTAGTAGCCGAAGCTAAAGGCTGATGTACGAGCCCTTTGGGCTTAGCGCTTATATCGTGGGCCTAAGGACGGAGCTCCGGATCTAACACTTCGACAATTGACGAAAGCTATAGATGCTAGCGTTTCGAAACCTATAAGCCCCGTTTCTTACTCTAATCTACGCGCTTGTTTACTCCCCGAATTTAGGCTTAAGTATATAGAACTAAAGCCATTAGCTAGGGCTCTGATTTAGCCTATCTAGAATTTAATTTAAGGACGCGTTTCTAACGTTCTTACGTATTATACTTATCGAGTTTAATATCGGAGTTTTAAAGCTCTTCGTAATATAGGGTAAATTTCAGCTTATATAGGATAAATTTTAGGGTCCGATATAGAGAACTTCTAGGTTTACTTCGGACTTAGGTTAACTCGATCTTCGTATCGAACCCTAAAATTTACCCTATATTACGAAGAACTTTAAAACTCCGATATTAGACTCGATAAGTTTACTACGTAAGAATATTAGAACTACGCCCTAAAATTAAATTCTAAATAAGCTAAATTAGAGCTCTAACTAAGGGCTTTAATTCTAAATACTTAAGTCTAAATTCGGATAGGAAACAAGCGCGGAAATTAGAGTTTTAGCCGAGTTTAGCCGAGTTTAGCTAAGTTTAGTCGAGATTAGCCTTGTTTATCGTCGCATTTCTATACTAAATATCTTAAAACATACTTAGCAAATACTATTTTAAACATACTTAATTATTAGATATTAAACTTACCTACTAGCTTAATATTTTAAACAACTTACGCTATGCGAGTACGCCGCGAGTACCGTTATAGCTGATTTTTTAGTAGGCTTAACTTGGGATTTGAATTGTCRAAGTGTTCGATCTAGAGCTCCTTAGTACTCTCAGTTACTAAGCCTATGCCTTTCACCTTGGCTCGTCTGTCCGCGATCCTACTCTAAATACCAACCCCCATCACCTGCTACCGCAAAACATTCGCCTCAAACCTGTCGAAAGCCATTCAGACGCGGTCTTTGCAGGTTCGTCCATGCTCAAACTCGCAAAGTCGCTCTTCCGAAGCCACCCATGGCCCCAACTCAAATTTCCGACATCCGGTTTCGAAGTCGTCAGCGAAGCGGTATTGTTTGAGGAAGAACAGCTCGAGGAGTTCCATAGGGGCGTCTACTATCCGGTCAATATAGGAGATGTCTTCGCGTCGAAGTACCAAGTAGTAGGCAAACTTGGTTTCGGTGTCACGTCAACTGTTTGGCTGGCCCGTGATCTACAGCAAGTTACCTTAGACTACTTAGCATTGGGCAATTGTGCTACCTTCACTGACAGCAAACCAGTCGCCATGCTTATACGACCTTGAAAGTCTTCACACGAGAGGGAATGGATGAGGATGAGTATAACGTGTACACCATCTTAGGCAAAGGCAATGCTTCGCATCCAGGATACAATCACGTCCGGACAGCCCTTGACTTGTTTACCATTCCTCGACAAGGTGGCGATCATCGCTGTCTTGTCCAGAAACCAATGTGGGACAGTTTCAAGGATCTCTTGAACAGAAACCCCGCGCACCGCTTCACGGACGAGTTGCTGAGAGCWGGCTTGTCGCAAGTGTTCCTCGCCCTCGATTACCTTCACACGGAAGCCAAGATCATACATACAGGTACGCTCCAACACATGTTTTCCGCAACTATGATTGACAAGAATTCAGACATCAAAGCCGACAATATCCTCATAGAAATCGAGGATCAGGGCATCTTGAAAGCCTTTGTTGACACCGAAATGTCATCTCCCTCGCCTCGCAAAGTCGTAGACGGCAAGCCAATATACGCGACACGCCAGTTTGGATTGCCGAAAGAGTATGGTCGTGTTGTCCTTGGAGACTTCGGCTCTGCAGTTTGTGGCGACAAACTTCAGATTCATGACGCGCAACCAAATGTCTACCGGTGTCCCGAGGTCATGCTGAAGACTGAATGGGGTTACCCAGCTGATATCTGGAACGTTGGAGCGTTGGTACGTACCGTCTCAAGCCTGAGGCAGAATCTGACATTTACCGAGATGCACAGATTTGGGACCTTTACGAGGATAAACATCTCTTTCACGGCATCGATCCAATCGAAAAGCGATACCTGACCAGAGCTCATCTCGCGGAAGTAGTCGCGATGCTCGGTCCGCCGCCGATGGATATGCTAGAGAGAGGCGCGCGGAGTCAAGAATTCTTCGATGGTGAAGGTGAGACTACGCTCCCAAAGTACCTACCGTTGGAAGCTAACCGAACTCCTATTAGGGAATTGGATAGCCGAGATACACCTACCGCAAGGCTTGTCGTTGGAGAGGTCGGAAGAGAATCTAGATGGAGGAAAGAAAGAAGAGTTCTTGCAGTTTGTCAGGTGCATGWTGMAGTGGAGGCCTGAAGATCGGCGGACCGCGAAGGAGTTGCTTAGGCATCGTTGGATACGAGGGACCTTGTAAATCAGATTGAGCAAGTAGATCTCAAATGACTCGAAGATAGATGGTCTAAAAGCTAGAAGCGTGGTTCGAAAGCTCTTGCTACACGACTTTAGCGAGTCGCGAGTCAAGCGTAGACTATCGGTTTAAACCCCGCCCTATCCCTCGGGCTATCTATACTAGCCCCGGCGTCTTCGAATAGACGTAGCCGTATACACCACTCTATCCGGAACGGGCACCTCGAACGCCGCACCAAGCCCCCAATTAGGAGTTTGGCGCGGAACGGCCCTTCCACCGTCCGACCGCACTTTTCTCCCCGCCTATCCCGCCGGCCCTAGCTCTCTGTTGTAAAGCTGTTACTAAACTAAGGTGAAGTACGCAGATAACACTAATTAGCATATAGGTAAAAACTCTGCATCTAAGATGCGGCTATATCGTCTAATCCTTAGTTATCTATAGATTACGTGCTAGAATTATAACACTCCCCCTTCTAGCAATATTATATATGTTTATATAAAGGATTAGAAGCTATTATCGGCTTTAGCAGCTAGATACTGCTACACATACTTAATATATACGTTATATATAATTATGCGTGTGTTTTAGGTCCTTATAACTTAATACATGTGCCTAAGTTCTTTCTAACGCTTCTATAAGAGGCCTCCTTCTTTTAAACTTAACTATTATCTATACTATAATATCCTTTATATTAATCCGCCTTACATTATATCTAAACACTTAATTAATTATCTATTAAGACACTTAATTAAGCATCTATTAAGATATTTATTATGTTTATAGCAATTAACCGTAAAGGTAGTTATATAGCTACTAGCATAGGTAGTAGTAGCAGTAGTAGTAGTAGTCTATTAAAGAAGAATCCTAGCCGTACTAGTTACTAGGCTACTAGCACTTCCTAGAGAGAGAAGCTACTAGAGAAGTTTTAGAATATTCTAAAAGATCTTACTACCTATAAGTATGCTCTAGATATAAAGGGCAGGGTTATTATTCCCCTATCGTATTTTAACCGTTACTTTATTAAAAGCCTTAATAGAGCCTATAAGGAGGGCCGTAGTAGTAGTCTTAGCTTAGCAGCTATTTTTAAGGACATCTTAAAGAATCCTCTAGCTACCTAGTAGATAGACAAGCTTACTAGTAGAAAGCCTAAGTTTAAGGTTGTTACTTAGCCTCGTTTAGCTACTCCTAGCACCCTTAGCTCCGGATCTAAGGAGCCTATAGTTAATATTAGTAGCGGTAATAATTACTACCTAACTATTGCTGCTTCTTTAGTTCGTAGTACTTAGATTAATAGTGTTATATATAACTCCTATGCTAGCCGTAGCAATACTATCTTTAATAGCTACATTACTATTAAGGGCCTGTTTAAGGGAGCTTACCTAGAGTGTGCTATTTATAATTATTACGAGTACTACAACTTTAGCACTTATAAGCCTACTCTAAGAAACACTCGCAACCGCACTAAGTTTAATGCTCGTGTTGCTTAGAATCTAGATAAGGCTAAGACATCTAAGGCTCCCGATAATCCTCTAGCTATTATCTACCGTAACCGTCCTCTCCTACTAATATATAATAGTAATAGTAGACCTCTCTTTTAGGTATTGCCCTTCTAGTCGCCTACTGCTCTTAGAAGCCCTACTAGAAATGTATACCCTTATAATAATCGCTACCCGATTAACTTCTTAAGATCTCTTTCTACTCTAGGCACTAGTAGTCGTTATAGAATAGCTATAGTTAACTTTAACTACCTATTAGCTTCTAACCGAGAGCAGCAGAGAGCCTATATAAGGGCTATACTATAGAATGTCCTAGAGAACTTTACTTAGATATAGGATACTAGTATAGTATTTAACCCTAGTAAGATTCGTGCCCGTTAGAATAAGGATGCTCCTAATAATAATAATAACACTAAGATAACCTAAGAGTAGTTAGGATTAAGAGCTATAAGCTCTAGGAGGTAATAGGAAGCCTAAGAGTAGCTAGTTAGTA